CTCACCCCCCCCCCCCAGCCCCCGGGTACTGGTAGCATACGCACACGCATACGCGGACACGCCTGCCCCGCCCCTCCTCCCTCCCCATCCACCAGCCACGCTGCACCATGTCCAAGCAACTGCCGAAGAAGAGTGGCGGTCTGCTCGGCGAGGCCCTTTCCTCGCTGCTTTCGGGCCCGGCCCCGACAGATGATCGCCAGGACGATGTGTCCGGTCTGGATGCGGACAACATTGTCGACTCGACGGGCTTTCACGACTACGACTCCTATGCTGCGGAGCTGAGGTGCGCCGCTCCCGACCCCCGGCATCACAACTGTGCCACTTTTTGTTGTCCCGCCTCCACAGGGCCGCAAGCCGGATCCCGGCACCTGCGACTCACCCTCCCCCTCGCTTTCTTCTTCTCTCTTCCCGCGTACACACGGGTATGCGCGTGTATGCGCATACACACACACACACACACGCACGCACAAACACCCCTTCCCCCCCCCCCCTCCCTGGCGCCTGCCATAGTGCTCCCACTGCCATGACCCGGCGCTCGCAGTCCGCCCAGGCGGATGCCCTGCTGAGCCAGAGCGCCCGTTACTCCGGGAAGACCTCTTCGCGCAAGGCCCTTTACGCCGAGAGCGACGACGAGGAGGACTCTTCGGAGGAGGAGGAGGAGGAGGAGGAGGAGGAGGCCAAGGCCCCCCGCGGCCGCGGCGCCTTCAGTGCGTCCAGCCTCATGGGCCTCGAGGCCAGCGACGGGTCGGACGACGAGGAGGATGACGGATCGGACGACGACTTCGAAGCGGCCTTCCGTCGGTACGACAGCTCCAAGAGCTCCGGCGGTCTGCCCTTCGGCGGGGCGGCGTTCGGCAGCTCCGAGGATGAGGATGCCAGCTCGGATGACGGGTCGGACGCTGATGAGCAGAGTGCCCTGGCCGAGGGTGTCTCCGGGAGCCGCAAGTCCATTCAGAAGGCCCTCGGCGCGTCGACCTCCCTCGACCGCGCCATGCGCCAGCTCGAGGAGGAGGATGCCGCGTGCGTGCATGTCGCTGTCATCAACTTTCGC